TAAGGGGAGTGGGCGGGCGAGGGGGCAGTGAGTGGAGAGGGAACTAGGGAGAAAGAGAAGGGGAGGAGAGGAAAGCATGTGGGACTGAGGAAGATTGAGTCAGGAGGAGGAATTGATGAGAGGGGGGGGAGAGAGAGAGAGAGAGAGAGAGAGAGAGAGAGAGAGAGAGAGACCTTAAAAGAGGGAGCCATTATAGGTTTGAAGAGAAAACTGAACCTAGAGAAATGTCCAGAGATCTACAAGACTGACCCCAACTAACAATTTGAGCAACCATGGGAAGGCTACCATAAATGCCCTTCCCTGATAATGAGATTGACAACTAACTTATCCACCATCATGGAGCCCTCATTTAGTAGCTGATGGAAAGAGAAACAGACACCCACAACTAAACACTGAGCCTCTGAGGAAGTATGCAAAGTCAAACATATATTAGGGCCCTGATTCCATGGGTTAGCATCCTTAAAGAAGGCACTGGAGTGCTTGCTTCTTGCTTTCTCCCTTTATCCATGCAGGAAGAAGGTGTGTGAGCACACAGTAACATGGCAGTGTAGAGAAGATGAGAGAAGAGGCATCTAGTCTAGACTCCCCTTTGTTCTTCCCCAGCATTCTCTCTGCCCCAAAAACCCTGCCTAGCTATTGGCCATTTAGCTTCTTTTAAAACCAGTCACAATGACATATCTTTACACAGTGTAAAGGAATATTTCACAACAGGGTATTTCTGGCATTCTAAGAATTGGTGGTCTGTAGACATGAGAAAAGACATCGAAATACTGCAAACAAAAATTTTGGATTTTTACATTTTTATTACATTTGTATGTATATATCCATGTGGGGAAAGGTATACATCCATGGTGCACATATGGGATCCAGAAGACAACTTGTGGTCATTGGTTCTGTCCTTCCATCATGTGTGTTCTGAGAATAGAACTCAGGTAAACAAGCTTAGAGGTAATTAAAACCTTTACCCACTGAGTCATTTCTCCAGTGTCTAGAATTTAAAGGACCACAGACAGAGTGGTGTATAACAGATTAATAAACAGGTATGGCAGCCCGGTATTTATGTGTGTTGAGGGGGATGAAGCCCCCACCTACCTGCCCTGACAGGGGATAGTTACTGACAGCCTTGACCTGGCCTTCCCAAGACTGAGTGTGGAATGCCAGGGTCTGTAGTCTAATAATTGGGAACTATATCTCAGGCCTCCTGGAGGTAACCAGATAAGGGAAACTCCGCCTGCACAAACTGTCTCACTATGCTGTTTTTCTCAATCCTAAGCCATCTGTGCTGGCTAGAGGTCTCTGTCACTCTGTGAATAGCACCTGAAGTCCCATCGGCCCATGTGCTTTGCCAAACCAAGTGAGTCGAGGAACCCATCATCTGTGGAAATGCTGAGATCCGAACCAAATGTGATTTGTTCTGCTTCAGCATTTCCTCAAATGACTCCATTAGGGGGATCACTGCGGCTCAGGGCTAATTAACTCATAATGGGTGCAAAGCATCCTGGGATACCAGCCCAGAGGGTGTCAAGGGATCTTGGGCCTTCTGTGTACACCCCAACCCTCCTCACAATGACAGTATAGATTCAGTTATGTCCAGTTACAAACAGGGTATGCAGATAGAACTAAGTCTGTGGGAAGTCTTAAGACATGAATCTTGCTTCTTGCTGGAGCAATTAAGTTACCAATTTAGCATGGAAAGCCTCATATTGGGAATGGAGGTTAAGTTCTGTGTCTGTCACATCCTGGCCAGGTGACTTAGGTGGCATCACTTAAGTAATTAAATGGGATAAAGACGGTACTCTTTTTGGAAGGATTAATGAGATGATACATACAAAGGCTCCAAGTCTCTGTAGTCTGTTTGTGTTGCCATCCGTAAGAGACACAGAGTGATATTCAGATTTCCAAAATGAAGTTGGTCTTTCTATAATTCAGTGTTTGGAGGGAATCTTGTGCTGGGTACTTCAGCAGGAGCTCTATCAGGCACATAAAAAAGAGTTAAGAAATGTCTCCTGGTAGGCCTTGTTATCATCCTTGAACCCTGAAATATTTCAAGATTGAAAGAAAGGACAAATGAATATGCTGTTTTAAATAACTCTAAGGAAGACACAATGCCCAGTGCCAAGAAAGAGATCTTAGAGAAGACACAAGCATGCTTTGCTCTTTGAAAGACTTGGGAACGAGATTAACATGCATAAAAAATTAGAAACTGACTCCCAAGATAAAAAGGCAAATGTCATGTGGAGATGCCAGGATGTGATTGAGGTCCCTGGGGTAGGAAAAGGCATTCCCAAATGATGGAAGTTCAGGACACGTGTGTCAGTAGCATATCTACTGATGTGCTCAAGGGTTGAGCGGAGAAAGGAGAACAAATACATTTTCTTACTTGAAAAATAGAAAATTGAGGAAGGAAACACTAGAAATCCTACTCTCTTCCTTCAAGTTTCAGTTTACATCAAACATCACCTTCAAAGCCCTTCTTCAATACTCTGACCAGATGGGAACATAGGAATGATCTTCTACCAACACCCTCCAAGGGAGCACAGCCCTTTGATATGTGAACCTTGGGCCCCGGCCTCCAGAACTGTGACTCACTGAGATTCTACAATTCTAAGGCCCCAGTTATAGTTATTCCCCAGCACCATGTCTTAGCACACAAAGTGTCTAAAAATGTAGACTGTGGCCCTCACTCTCTAAGACATAAAAGGACAGGGCATTCTCAAGCCAATCCAGGATTATTGCTAAAATTCTTTCTGGCAAACCCCTGGCGGTCATGGTCTCTCACCAAGCAGCTTGAATGAAAGAGGATATGGGAAGAAACTATCTAAAAAGAAGTTCCAGAAAATTTAGGGCTTGCCTCTTCCTTCCCTACCCAACACTACAGCCACTTAAGGGAAGCCCAGTTTGCGGAGTATCTTTCCTTTACAGTGTTTCCATAGTGATTTACAAAGCATTTCAAAACACAAGCACCTGCCATGACAGTAACAATAGAAAGGAAAAAAGGCCTTCAAATCCCAGAGGCTATGCTGGGAAAAAGAAGTCCTAGGCCCTCCCTATTGCCCTGCCTTTATCAATAAAGAATTGGGCAGGAAATGTCAGGTTATTTGTGTGGGCAGGATTGCTTCCTTAGGCAGCCCCATTTGCACATGAACACATTTTAGTACATACAAATGAAATCTTTAACCTGCCAATTTAACTCTTAGTTTTATATAACAGATGTCTAAACACCAGTTGCCTGCACAATTATCAATGTGCACATGACAGAAGCAATAATATCCAAATCACAAAAAAAAAACAGCTGATTTGATTCTTGATATTTTTATTTGGTTGCATAAAGATTTGGTCAATACCTTCAAAGACAAGGGACAATAATAATAACAGTTGCAGCATCATTATTGAGCACTTACCAAGTTTGATGCACTGCACTAAGCATCTAAGAAGTGATAATCCACTTAATTGTTCCCAAAACATGATCAGATGAAAACTTAAAAGGATGACCTTGTAAACTGGTTAAATGGAGCTCAGGGGTTTTGAATGACTTATCCCAGATCATGGGCTTCAGATTTGGGATTTCAACCAAGTTTCTACGCTGCATGTGACAGTCACACCATGCAAGATTTCCTAATGAAAAGACATGGAGTTCCATAATTAGAATGCATGATTGCAGCTGCAGGACCTAGAGGAGTGGTGGCCACAGAGTCACACTTTCTAGGCCTTGCTACTTACTGTGTACATAAGCTGCTTTAATAGAAACGTGAGTTGGCCTTAGGATAAGTTAGGTGTGTATGCACTTGTGTGTATGTGTGTATACACATGTGCCTGCTTGTGTACAGTACTCATTGCATATTGTGAATACATGTATATTTGTGTGTACATGTGTGTGCATGTGTATGCTATGTTTACTATGTGCTATATGTGTTCATGTGTGAATACTTGTGTTCTTGTGTTCATCTGATCTGCTTTTGTTTTTCCAGACAGGGTTTTACTGTATTGTTTTAGAGCCTGTCCTGGAACTTGCTTTGTAGACCAGGCTGGCTTCATACTCACAGAGATCCTCCTGCCTCTGCCTCCTAAGTGCTGGGATTAAAGGTGTGTGCCACCAACGCCCAGCTGTGTTCATCTGTTTGAAGGTAAGAGGAGAGGTTATGACACAAGCTGTGGTGATCAGTTCTCCAGAAGAGTAGCCTGAGGGGTTCTCACACTTAAACACTGGTCTCTGATTCTAAAACAGTGGTTCTCAATCTGTGGTTCACAACCCCTTTGGGGTCATGTATCAGATATCCTGTATATCAGATAGTTACAATACAATTCATAACAGTTGGAAAATTTCAGTTATAAAGTAGTAACAAAATAACTTTTTGGTCAGGGAGGTCACCACAACATGAAGTACTGTATAAGGGCCATAGCATTAGGAAGGTTGAAAACTATTGTCTAAAAAGAAAACAAACCAATATAATGAATACAAATCCCCCTTCAATTCTTTCAGGATGTCTCCCATCAAGTTTCACCTGAATGTCTCCTCTGAGATTGCTGCTTTGTGGAACAAGGATAGGAAGGAACTGTATGTTTTCATGTAAAGGTTGCCTGCTCAGTAAAGGGCACAGGGCAGGGACCTGCTCAGACACAGGGTAGTGACCTGTTCAGACACAAGGTTGGGACCTATTCAAACATGGGGTATGGACCCGCTAGACACAAGGAAGTAACCTACTCAGACCCAGGACAGGGACCTACCAGATGTAGAGCAGGGTCTTTCTCAGACAGGAGGTAGGAACTTGCCCAAATACAGAGGCACAATGACTTCCAGTAAAGGCAATGCTGGGGGTTAATTACTCACATGCAACTCCTTCCTAGCATCCTGAACCAGGGAGAAGCAGGCAGCAGGCAAGTGGGGGCTCCCCCTGGAGGACTATGCAAGGCAGAGCTGAGGAAAGGGGTGTGCAATAGCCAGCTGTCACAAGTTGCTTCTGTCCAGCGCATCAAAGAGCACTGACGCTTGTGTCTTACAGGACTTTGCAGACTCTGTGGCCCAGCTGGTTACACAGAAGTTCCGTGAACTGACAGTCGGTCTGACGTCTGTGTATGCCCGCCACAAAACACTGGCAGGAATCGTCATGACAAAAGGTAACTACCTTTCTTTTCCTGTGGGAATTTTTGTCTCCACAGAAAGAAATGTTAATATTAGCCTGGTCCCTGGAGTTGAAGGATGCTTCCTAACACATGGAGATGGACAAAGGAAGACAATGTAGAAATCAAAGATATCAGTGGCCACTGTTACTATCAGAACAACCACACTGGCAATATTGTGAAGACTTTTGATACTTCTCTTTACCCCCATGAATTCCATAAGGCATTTATGCATAACTTCACTTTCAAGAATGATGCTGATATTGATAAAATGCTTGAACCAGAGGCCAGGCTACTTGAAGCTGACAGGATATGGAGGTGCCCTGCTTCTCTGACACTTCTAAGGTGTCTAAGACTGGTGACTAATGATATCACTCATACAGAATGAGCACACTACATGAGTTTATACACAGAGCAGAAAGATGGAGCCAGTGTGTACAAAAGAAGTCAGGTGTGAAGGTGGACTGCTCAAGGGATGTTGGCTGTCAAAGTATCTTGTTTTCTCATCAAAGAATGCCAATGGGCCCTTTTCAGTGTACACTCTTCACATTGATTCCCACCAGTAGAAGGCTGTGAGAAGCAATGGAGGGAACACCAAAGGGGCATAAGGGGATGCAAAGTGACACAGTAAGGACAAAAAGAGACACAAGAGAGAGTGAGGATATATGGGAATCTAGTCAGGACACAGTGCACAGCAGACACAGAAACATGGGGGACATACAAAGGGACATGAAGGACAGGGGAGGACATGGAGAAGAGTGAAAGACACAGAGGGATACAAGACACTGGAGTACTTTCAAAGTAGCTGCCTCCTGAGTTTAAGGTCCTCTTGCTGGGGTATACACTACTGGGTGAAAGTCCTCCTTCTTATCCAGACTCATCATTCCAATCTGCTCTCAGAAATGCAATTCCATTCCAGAAAACAAGGATGACAAGATCTGATAGGAGGTCCCTGCTACTATATGCAGGGTAGGTAGAAAATGATGACTGGATCTGAACTGTCAGATTTCTGAAATTTTCTAATTACTGAACAAAGGTAACTAATCATCTAGTTGTGTAAACTCAACCATTTTTATCTCCAAAGCAAAGAACAATTATCATAACATAAAATTTATTTGGGAGCAACAAAAGGTTCACAAAAATACATGACTTTGTATAGGTAGGCAACTTCTAGGACTGAGAAACATTATGTGGTGTCCACAATTATTAATAGCTAAAAATAAGAAAAATCAAATAATTGTCAGAGTTGTCACTCTAGACACCTAGGAATCACTCCAATACCCAAGAACAAATAAACAGGAAAACAAACCCTCAGGTCCCATCATATGCCTGGCACAGTGTACATGATCCAGCCTTTCCTATTCCCCCATCTTAGCAAAGTGGAAATCCAATGCTTCCTCACAGTGTAATTTGTAAGATAAAGTACATCAAATGCTTTAAAAGGTGAAAATCACTTTATAAACAATATTCTGTTCTAAAGCAAAGCATATCACTTTTTTCAATGACATTATATGTGGTGTCATGCATACACCTGAACCACTATGAGGGCTACCAACCCCACCCCTTTCACACACTGAACAGCATCTGTCTCTGCAAAACAGGAAATGCTCTAAATTCAGGGCTGAATCAACCTTTGCCAAGACATTCACCATTAGGTACAATCTTGTATCTACCCAGCCACTAATTCTCTTTGCAGTCACCACCATTCTACATGAAAAGACTCAACTATCCAATCGAAAACTAATCCAGCTCCATCTACAGCTAGCTTTGTGACTAGAGGCAGGGGTACTTGGCATCTCTGGGACTTGGTTTTCTCGCTCATAAAAATAAGATCAATATGAGGAATACCTACCTAGTAAGGTTACAGAGAAGGTTAAAGTGTGTGTGTGTGTGTGTGTGTGTGTGTGTGTGTGTGTGTGTGTGTAATATACTTGGAAGCCTTGCTGGTTAGGCTTTACTGTCAACTTGACACATCCTAGATTCACCTGGCAAGAGTCTTTATGTTTTTGTTGATTTATTGAGAAGTTAATACAACATAGTTTATTCTTTTCTCTACCCCATCTCCTCCCAGATCCATCTAACTTGATGTTTCTTCATCTCTCTCTCTCTCTCTTAAAAAATAAAGCACAAAGCACACACACACACACAAGAAACATGGAGTATGAATTGTGTTGGCCAAGGGTCTTAATAGCAGATTATCTAGATCCTTTAGGCTTGTCTGCGTGACACTGTCTTGATTTTTAATTGATATGAGAAGACCCAATCCATTGTGAGAGCCTCCTGACAGGGGCTCCTAAACAGTATAAGGACAAGAAATTTAGATGACATCAAGAAGGTAAGGAATTAGGTCCTCACACACGTGTGTGTCTCTACCTTTTCTTCATTGTGAATGTGATGTAACAGCTTAAGTTCATGCCTTGACTTCCCCTCAATGATAGAGTATAACCTGAATTGTAAGCTGAACAAATCCTTCTTCCCCTGAGCTGCTGTTTGCTAAGATATTTATCATAGCAACAGAAATGAAACTAGAAGAGTTACAATCCATAGTAAGAAACTTGTAATGTTCATTAGTGATCATGCTATCTTCAATGCACAAGTTATTAGCTGAGTGCCAACAATACTAAGGTTCTGAGGAAACAGCAAAAAAATAAAATTGGCCAAGTGTCTAATCTTGGGAAAACTGATAATCAACTGAGGAAAGTGTCATTTAGAAACAAAATAAATAAAGCATACAACCAATACAAAATAATCCTGAGAGTATCATCCACAGAGTCTCAAAACACACAAACAAAATTTGAACACTTTTTAAAAATGTAAAGTGTCTCATAGGTTTCTATCACAGGTTGCTGCCAGAACAATTCAGCAGGAAAGATAAGACAGACAGACAGACAGACAGAGAGGTACTCCACTTCTCTTGTGTAATACATGTCCAAGTCCAAAAGTCTACATGAGTGTGACTCTGTCAGTTGATTTTCAACTTTTTCCAGCTCTGAGTATCTTTCAGCTTTCATAGGAAACTCAAAAATGGCAATGTTTGGAAGCTGTTTTGAGATTTTTGAGACTTCATATTAAAAGCAATTGTATTTTACAAGGCCTTGTGAAAAGATAATGCTTCGGTTGCCAGCAAATGCACTATTTTCTATACAGGTGATTTATTTATTTATGTGAACTAAATTCATTATGTGAAAGAGAGTCTTTACAAGGTAAGGCTTTATAACTAGTTGTCTGTGAACCCTGGAGTATCAATTGCTGGAATTTGCTTTCCTGTTATAAAGGGTATAGTTAATGAACTTTGATTTAGAAAAGATTATAAAGAAATATGCAAAGTAATGAATAAAATACTTGTAAATATTCATTTACTCTAATTTGATGTGTCATGTGATCTTAATTCAGGTTCAGTTATTCGAGAAAATGCCTGAGGAACACTAAGAGATAGTGGTGTGTGTGCTATACCAATTACAACGCCATAAATTAAACTGATTCTGAAATAAACTTCATTCTATTTTCACTGTTTGCAAAAAGAATATTATTTTTTAGCCATTATAAGTAATACTATTAAGAAAACATATACTTATGAACAGACTAAGTTTATGAAATCTTCATCTAATTAACCCAATCCTATTATGATAAAATTCAAATATGAAATAACTTATGAATAAAAACTAATACTCCCCAATTTCATTGTTCACCTTTTCTACCCAATTGAATTGGTTTTATTAATCCTTTGAGAAGTTCTACATACACAAAATATATTTTGATTATATTCATCCATAACTCCTTCAAGATCTTATCCCATTGTAACGAGTAGGGTTTTTCTGCCTACCACCGCTGGTCTTGTCCCGCTGCCGCGCCAACCCCAAATAATGCACAGAGACTCTGTATTTGATACAATGCTACTGGCCAGGTACTAGTTTCTTATCGGCTGGCTCTGTCTTAAGTATTAACCCGTTTCTGCTGATCTATGTATTTTTCTTACCGGGAGCCGGCCGGCATACTGCTTTCTCCAGACTCTCCATCTTGACTCCTCCTTACTACTTCCCTCTTTCCCCCCCTTGTCTCCTAGTCCCGCCTATCTTACTTTCCTATTGGCCAACAGTGCTTTATTCATTAACGCAGTATGAGAAACATATACAGAATGACATCTCCCATCATCTCCTCTTTTCTGTCTAAAATAAAAAGAAGGGTTTTAAACTTAACATAGCAAAATATATCACACAACAGTTATCAAATAAGAATCACAGTTAACAATATTTAGTCCATTAACATTTAGCAAGATTTAAGAAACTATTCTATCATCTATCCTATATTTGTGAGTCTAAAGTCTAAGTAACTTATCTTTAATACTAAGGAAAACTATAACCATAACTCTCTGTCTTCAAGTCCCTCAAAGACCACAGAAGGATAATATATAAACTCTAGAAATGACAGAGACAACTCACTGCCTGATCACCCGAAGTTCTTTTTGTAATCTTCCATCTTCAGCCCATAGGCCATAGTGTGTCTGGCAGACTCTTCAGCAAAGCGGGAAACTTTAATCTGTCTTCTTTTATTGTCAGCTTGTCCATCATTTTTCTCTGTGTCCTGCAGACTGTCTGGCAGACTCTTCCATGAAGCAGGAACTCTGTAGCAATGTCCATCTTGAATCAGCAGTCACTTTTCTGTGGGTCCTGCATGTCCAGTTTATACACCATAAAGTCAAACAGTCCAGACAAGAGCAGTATCTTGTCCAAATGGCTAGTCTTGCCATATTGGAAGTAAACTCCATAGAGTTTCTTCAATGTCCATCTTTCTTTCTGACACAGGTGGTGTTGCCAGGAGCAATTATGTCTCATTGTCAATAAAAACCCTAAAACATTTTAAATGCCATATTCTGTAGGTCTTTGAAAGGTTTGAAGAAAGCCTATCTATCTCAAATACATCTCTGTGTATCTTGAAAAACCTAACTAAACTCTAAGCTTTGAATATCACAGGTAATTATCTATAATCTGTACTACATT